TGATTCTTTGGAACAACTCGATGAATTTAGTAGAAAATACTTTATTATATAAAATGAATATCATAAAGAAATCTTCTTATTATATAAAAATGATATAAAAAGAAAATGAGAACACACAAGAGTAAAGTAATAAGATAAGAATAAAAAATAAAGATTAATTATCATGGACATATTTCTTGTAGAAATAGACAGCAAAATAAATCCAGTTATTTCGTTCGACATTCCTTATATTTAATTTAATATTCAAATTATTAAAATTAACGATTTTGATTCTTAATAAATCTTATTCCATTTTTTTCTTATGGGTTTATTCTCTTTATATACTCCATATAGAATATATATATATATTCATATCTATTTATTTAGCTCTACATAGTAGAATTAAAAAAATAGACTTAGTATAAGTCTATATGAATTCTAGTGATTATAGACTTTCTTTATTCCAATATAAGAAGAATCCAAATATTAATCTAACAATCAACAAAAAAGAACAGGTACAAATATGAAATTGAGGTACCCCATTTTATGATAAACTTACCATCCCTTTTTGTTCCTTTAGTAGGCCTAGTATTTCCGGCAGTTGCAATGGCTTCTTTATTTCTTCATGTTCAAAAAAACAAGATTTTTTAGATACCACAAGTTTCATATATTTTTGAAAATAGGGTTAAATTTTTTAGTTTGGATTTGTTCTTTTGTTCCATTTTTGAATAACTATTGCCTTCAATAAAAAAAAAAGAAAAGTACTAATATTATATAAGCCTTAATAAGATAAGGAGGTTTTCATATAACAACATAAATATTAATCTAACAATCAAGAAAAAAGAACAGGTACAAATATGAAATTGAGGCACCCATTTTATGATAAACGTTTATGTGTTTTTAGTGGGCCTTGTATTAATTGTAATGTCTGCTTTATTGGTTCATGTTCCAAAATTCATTAGTTGGGGGTCAGAAAAACTTGGTTGTCGTTCACAAGACGCATGGCTTGACATTGTACCGGGGTCCCGAAAAATTATCAATTTATTCTGGGCGTCTTTCACTCTTTTAGGTTCATTAGGAGTTTTATATATTTCAGTTTCCAGTTATTATGGGAGGGATTTTTTCTCTTTCATTTCGTCCGAATTTGTCATTCCTTTTTTGACACAAGGAGTCACGCTGACTTTCTATGGAATTGCCGGTCTCTTTCTAAGTTTACATTGGTGGCTTCTAATTTTTTGGAATGTGGGGAGTGGCTATAATTTTTTCGATAAAAAAAATCGAATGGTATGTTTTTTTCGTTACGGATTTCCTGGAACATATCGTCGTATTTTTCTCCGAGTTCGTATGGAAGATATTCAGTCCCTCATACTACAAGCTAACCCATAACCTAGTAGTGGTGTCCTTTATATGCAAACCAGAGAACAGGGGACCATTCCCTTGACTCCTGTTGATGATAGGACTCCATGCAACGTTATACAAAAAGCTTGGGACTTGTCCAGATTCTTGAGTGTACCAATGGAAATCGTTCCATATTCTTGAGTATACCAATGGAAATCGCTGTATCCAAACAATTTCATTTTTAATTCATAGCTTTTGAAACACTTTTTTTCTTCTTCATTCAAATTGGCAATGGCTTATTTCGTTTTCTTATTTGATTTCTGTATTCTTTTGGATTCTTTTTTCAAATTGAAGGAAAAAGAAACTAACCTCCGAATTACAAATAAAAAGAATAGCTTCTCAATTTCTATGAAAAAATTATAAATTGATATATTCTAGGCTAAGCTCTATTACTTGTATTTACTTGTAATAGAACTTATGCTTGATAGAAAGATTATTATTATATATAGTTGAAAAATGAGATGAAACTGAGTTCATTAAAGACGAAAAATGGCAAAAAAGAAAGCATGCATTCCCCTTCTATGTCTTACATCTATAGTCTTTTTGCCCTGGTGCATCTCTTTTACATTTCAGAAAAGTCTGGAATCTTGGATTACTAATTGGTGGAATATGAAAGAATCCGAAATTGTCTTGAATACTATTCAAGAAAAAAGTATTTTAAAGAAATTGCTAGAGTTCGAGGAACTGTTCCTCTTGGATGAAATGCTAAAGGAATACCCGGAAACACGTTTACAAAACCTTCGTATCGAAATCTACAAAGAGACCATCCAATTGATCGAGACGAACAACCTAGATCGTATCCATACGATTTTCCATTTCTGTACAAATATAATCTGTTTCCTTATTCTAAGTGGTTATTCTATTCGAGGTAATCAAGAACTCATTATTCTTAACTCTTGGGTTCAAGAATTTCTATATAACTTAAGTGACACAATAAAAGCTTTTTCTATTCTTTTATTAACTGATTTTTGTATAGGATTCCATTCGACTCAGGGTTGGGAACTAATGATTGGGTCTGTCTATAAAGATTTTGGATTTACTCTGAATGATCAGATTCTATCTTGTCTTGTTTCGATTTTTCCAGTCATTTTAGATACTATTTTTAAATATTCTATTTTCCGTTATTTAAATCGTGTATCTCCGTCGCTTGTAGTCATTTATCATTCAATGAAGGAATGAAAAAACGACCCACTGATCCAATTCTAAAATTTGTTTTTTGTATAGAAAAGCTAAACATTTAAAATTGAACTTATTCGTTTTCGTTTTACTCGTATTCTTCCTATATTATAGGAAAAGAATTGGAGTAAATAGCAGAATCATGGATAGGGAACTGTGCCAGTAACCTACCTAATCTTATTGTAGAAATTTTCAGGATCAATGATTGGACCATGCAAACTAGAAATGCTTTTTCTTGGATAAAGAAAGAGATTACCCGATCCATTTCCGTATTGCTCATGATATATATAATAACTCGAGCACCCATTTCAAATGCATATCCTATTTTTGCCCAACAAGGTTATGAAAATCCTCGAGAAGCTACCGGCCGGATTGTATGTGCTAATTGCCATTTAGCTAATAAGCCCGTAGATATTGAGGTTCCACAAGCGATACTTCCCGATACAGTATTTGAAGCAGTTGTTCGAATTCCTTATGATATGCAAGTGAAACAAGTTCTTGCTAATGGTAAAAAGGGGGCTTTGAATGTGGGAGCTGTTCTTATTTTACCAGAGGGTTTTGAATTGGCCCCTCCTGATCGTCTTTCGCCCGAGATTAAAGAAAAGATAGGTAATTTGTCTTTTCAAAGCTATCGTCCCACAAAAAAAAATATTCTTGTGATAGGCCCCGTTCCTGGAAAAAAATATAGTGAAATTACCTTTCCTATTCTTTCTCCAAATCCCGCTACTAAGAGAGATGTTTACTTCTTAAAATATCCTATATACGTAGGCGGGAACAGGGGAAGGGGTCAGATTTATCCCGACGGAAGCAAGAGTAATAATAATGTTTATAATGCTACAGCAACGGGTGTAGTAAACAAAATAATACGAAAAGAAAAAGGTGGATACGAAATAACGATAGTAGATGCATCAGATGGACGTGAAGTGATTGATATTATACCGCCAGGACCAGAACTTCTTGTTTCAGAGGGTGAATCTATCAAACTTGATCAACCATTAACGAGTAATCCTAATGTGGGTGGATTTGGTCAGGGGGATGCAGAAATAGTGCTTCAAGATCCGTTACGTGTCCAAGGTCTCTTGCTCTTCTTGGCATCTATTATTTTGGCACAAATTTTTTTGGTTCTTAAAAAGAAACAATTTGAGAAGGTGCAATTGTCTGAAATGAATTTTTAGGAATGTCAATTTATCAACATATTAAGCTGGTAAAAAGAACTCCATTTTTGTTGATAAATTCTGTGTAAAGACCTTTGGTTCTTGGTTTTTTTTCAACTGCACAATTAATTCGAACCATATGATTATGTCGCTGATTATGTCGCTGTTTTCACATTTTCATGTCCTAGAATAGAAATATTAGAATTTATATTGTAATAGAATGAAATTCGACTCGATACTAAACCTAAAAAAATAGGTAGGTAGATAATATTAAGTAAAGTAGAAAAAGGGAAAACAGGATTCTAGGATGGATAATTTGTCTTTTCCTAGAGTCCAATTCCTTCTTGTTTATGTCGAAATCGATACGTAGTTAAGGAATGGACAAACAAAAAAGACCGGGAATTGAATTCAGCAAATACAACTTTCTTAATTCACTTCAAAAAAAGAATTTAATCATGAGTCTATATTAGAAATAGATTTCTAGTAAGATTCTGTTAGTATCAAAAAGGTTTGGTTCTACAGAATCTTTTTTATGTTTAATAGAGTATTAAATATAGTATATAGTTCCCTATTCTTACAGGGAAGATCCTAAAAAAAGGAAATGGAATTTTTTGAAACATACAATAAAGTTATCTATTGACTCACTGACAAAAATATTCTGATTATGAAGAACTCAACGGGACCCCTTCGAATTCATCAAAGAAAGAGTGGATCCCCGTTGAGTTCTTATGCTTTCATTTCGAAAACTAAATTTATCCGATTATTACAGGGATGATCCCAATCCGGAATATGAACCATAAAAGAAAATACCAATTAAACCGATCACAACAATACCAGCTACAGTACCTATTATCCAAAGAGGAATTCTTCCAGTAGTATCGGCCATTTATCCCACTTTCCTCCACATTTGATCAAGTAGTCAGTCATACTAGAGACCTAAACAGTCATAGATAATTATGAAATGATATCCTTCCGAATGGGATAAGAGAATTCCTAATATATAAATACTATTCTCTTTTCTTCAATTAATTGAAAAAATAATTTGAAAATAAAACAGCAAGTACAAAAATGAGTAATAAACCCCAGTATAGACTGGTACGATTCAATTCAACATTTTGTTCATTTGGGTTTGATTGTGTCGTAGCTCTATAATTCGGATTAGGTTTATCGTTGGATGAACTGCATTGCTGATATTGATCCCAAAAAAGAAACGGTAGGTACCGCTAGTCCGTGAACAGCCAACCGTCGTACTGTAAAAATGGGATAGGTCCTATCTATGGTCATTGGAGCCTCCTAAAAAGATCTACTAAATTCATCGAGTTGTTCCAAAGAATCAAAACGGCCGGTTATTAAAGGAATTCCTTGTCGGCTTTCTGTAAAATACTCGTTTGGACGGGGGCTTCCAAATACATCGTAAGCTAAACCCGTGCTGACAAATAACCAACCCGCAATGAATAGGGAGGGTATAGTAATGCTATGAATAATCCAGTATCGAATACTGGTAATAATATCAGCAAAAGAACGTTCTCCTGTGCTTCCAGACATGCCGAGCTCCACATATTCTTATACAGTCAAAGGGGGATCGATTCCATAAAAGATCAGATCAGTAAGTAGAAATTTACTGAAATTTTCAATCTTTGTTACGATCGTCAATCGTGTACCAAGGGTCTCGTTCCAGTATACCAAATCAGTATAGCTATCCTTCTTCTAACACAGCAACGAAATTTCACAATAAGTGACGAGATCGAGTACTACAAAAGAAAATTTCTTTTTTTCCTGGTTGTTTGTTTCGATGTACTGAATCGAAAATTCCTCAAAGTTTAAGACTATATATATGGACTTTATATTATTTATATTATATATATACGTTATATTATATATAATTATATAAATAAATAAAACAATTTTCCTTCGATTAGTTTACTCAACTCATGTCATGAGTTGATCAAGAAATCTGTTGATTTGGAATCACAGGTTGGGTAGATGTCACAGATGATGAATTGATTTTTTACCTATGTAACTATATTTTTCTTTTTGTTTGTCCGTAATAATTGATTCATGAATCAATTCTTTTCCATTGTATCTTTCAAGTGGTCTTTTTTGCTTCTTTTCCTATTTTTATCTAAAAAAAAAAAATGGAAACTTAGGAAAGTGCTTTATAAACATATGTATAAAAAGAATATATTTCATCTAGTTTCCTTATGTCCACTCTAACCAGTTATTTCGGTTTTCTACTAGCGGTTTTAACTATAACCACAGGTATTTTTATCAGTCTGAATAAGATACGACTTATTTGATTTGCAATTTTGAGAGAAATTTGGAAATTGTAGATATTCTATAGTTCCTTATCATATTTCCAATTCTTGGTCATTGAGATTCATGGTCAATATAAATTCATATTTAAGGATCGATATTACCCCCACCTTTTTTACTTTCAACCAAACTCAAATGATTGAAGTTTTTCTATTTGGAATCGTGTTAGGTCTAATTCCTATTACTTTGGCTGGATTATTTGTAACGGCCTATTTACAATACCGACGTGGCGATCAGTTGGATATTTGATTTAGTACTGTCTCTTTTGTTTATTGACTTCCTATTTTTTTGTTTGAATCCTAATTCACAGGAGATCAAATTAACACTTTTGATTAGACTTAGACTGTTATCCCATTATTTTAGTCTCATTCTCAGAAGAATGGTATCACGCTCTGTAGGATTTGAACCTACGACATCGGGTTTTGGAGACCCGCGTTCTACCGAACTGAACTAAGAGCGCTTTCTTTTCCTAAATAATTTGATGTGATGGCAATATATCTTGCATGCATGCATACAAACTAAATATGGAGAACTATTCATATTGAGTATGTATGTACAATTTCAATTGCTCAAAATTGATCTCTTGTTACTGCTGATATGATATTAGGGATAGGGATGACAGGATTTGAACCTGTGACATTTTGTACCCAAAACAAACGCGCTACCACGCTGCGCTACATCCCTTTACATCAGTTTCCATTGTCATTCTAAAGAATTTTTGTCTTATTTTCCACATTTTTCCATTATCTATATCCTGCCATTTTGTTTGTTTTTTTACTTTCTTATATCGATCGTAGAAATAAGATATCGAATCAAATATTCTTATAGAATATTTATATTCAATTAATGAAAAACAGAGAATATATAGAATCTATAAATAATAAGATAGAAAAAGTATAATAACAAGAACAAAGAATATACAAATAATATAGAAAATAGAATTGATATATGAAAAATAGAATAATTTCAAATATTATTTGAATATTTCATAGAATTCATAATTTCAAAAAATATATAATAATATAGTTATTAGAAGATAACAATTTGAATAAATAAAATAAGAATATAAAAATAGTACTCTATAAAAAAAGATCTAATTCATTGTTGTACAATTCAAATTGGATTCGGACTTCCCCCGAGAAATCCAAGTGGTTTTATTAAGAAAAAAAAACATTGGATCATATTCCTATATGTAATTCTGTATTATTATGTATTACAAATTACAAGAAAAAACGAAGGAGGATTTGAAATGCGAGATCTAAAAACATATCTCTCTGTGGCACCAGTGGCAAGTACTTTATGGTTCGCGGCTCTAGCAGGTCTCTTGATAGAAATCAATCGTTTATTCCCGGATGCATTGACATTCCCTTTTTTTTTATTCTAGTTATTGGCACGGGAAGGGGTGACGAAGATTAGAGATCCAATAAAATATCTGTGATTAAATCCCTCTTCGTTCGTTTTTTTTTTCGAATTATACTAGAATAAGTTCAAAAAAAAAAAGAGGAAATTAAGAAAGGTGGATTTGGCCTCAGTGAAATTTGGAATTTTTCCCACGTTTCGTTTCAATGGAATTGAATTAATACTTCAATTCCATTGCTATTCTTAATTATTAAGAGTAAGACCAGAAATGGAATTGTTAGGGTAGGGGCAATAATATCATACAAGATATTTCAATAAAAACTGAAATACTAGACTCTGGATTCGAAATCTATTTCGAAAGCATTGTAGTAGTGAATTATTACTGTACTATATAAAATTAATTGGAACAAAATATTTCATAATTTGATTTTGAATTATCAACTTATCTTTTTTTTCGTTCCTTTTTTCTTCTTCCCTTCGAATCTTAAAATCGAAGAGTTAAGTGAATAAAAAAACCAAAGGAGGTTTATGGCTAAGGGTAAAAATATCCGAATAACTGTTATTTTAGAATGTACTAGTTGTGATAAAAAGAGTGTTAATAAGGAATCTAGAGGTATTTCTCGATATATTACTCAAAAGAATCGACACAATACGCCTAGTCGATTGGAATTGAGAAAATTCTGTCCCTTTTGTTGCAAACATATGATTCACGCAGAGATCAAGAAATAGAGAAAATGGATTACTTGTGTGTCACCCTTAAGGAGGTAAATTGAAAAAATACATAAAAATTAATTATATAGATACCAGATAAATTATCTTATCTATATTATATAAATAACATTCTATAACATAAAATTATATACATAGATCATTATATAGCATATATTTTCCAAATATATTACAAAAAAAAATAAGAATATAACTAAAACAAATCCTTTTTTTATAAAACAAACGGGATTTTCGGTATAGGAATAAACAAACCATGGAGAAATCTAAGCGACTGTTTGTTAAATCGAAGCAATCAATTCGTAGGAGTTCGCCCCTAATCCAATCTGGGGATCGAATTGATTATAAAAACTTGAGTTTACTTTTCGAATTTATCACGCTACAAGGAAAAATTATACCTAGATGTGTGAATAAATTGACCTTAAAACAACAACGATTGATTACGATTGCTATAAAACAAGCTCGTATTTTATCTTTGTTACCTTTTGTAAATTCGTCACCTTTTGTTAAAAATGCAAAAAAAAAATATGAAAAAATCAAGTCGATTACTAGAGCTACTCCTCCTGTTCTTAAAAAAAAAAAAATAGAGTTACGTTACTTCAATTAATTTAATAATTAATTGAATCTAAACTCAAAGTTTATGCGGATTGGTAGTTTTTTTTTGTTTTTTGAGCGTGGTTGATTATTTCTTTTTCTAATTCATATGAATTCTATTTTATCATACAAATCTATTTTATTCTACCACCTTCCCGGAGTTAAGTCTCCGGGGAATTTTTATTTTTGAATGATATCGTTGGCAATCATAAAAAGACAATTCCCCTTTAATCTAGCTATTTGTGCAACTATTTTACGATTAAGAAGCAATTGATTCTTGTACAGATTATACATTAAATTACTATAGCGATAGTATATTTTTTCTTTATTCTGGCTTATTATTGCATTTATTCGACTGATCCACAAACTGCGAAAGTCCCTTTTTTTCTTATCTCTATCCCGTTGAGACGAAACCAAAGCTTTTATTCTCTATTGGAAAATAATTCGAATAAGTTTTGAATGAGCTCCGCGAAAGCCTGATGTAAAGGAACTCAATTTTGTCCTCCGTTTTCTCGCGATAGATCCTCGTTTAATTCTGTTCATTGGATAAATGAGACTTTGATTAATAACTATTTAATTTTTTTCTTTCAGTTATTCTTTTATCCTTTCTAGTCTATTACGAACAACATGGATTCTTCCAATGTGGAAAATATAAATTCCAATGGCTTTTGCTACTATAACCTTCCCAACCACTATTTTTTTTTTTCGTTTTTTCTAAGTATAAGTATTTTAACTCTTAATAATAACTTCTATTGATACTAGGTATTCAAAAAAACATAGTAAATAAAATAGAAATAAACAAAGAAATCGTGGGTTCCATCGTTTCTATGATTACTTGTTAAACGGTGAGGTCCTCTCTATACACCGGAGCCCCTTCCTTCATTGAATCTTGATTCAATCAATGTTATTGTGAACTTGTACAGTTCACACTTCTTAGCTCTACCCATTGAATATATAGTAATAGGTCTTTCACAATAAAATCTAGCTATACAGTAACGGTATTTAAGTATGAAGATTAGCTGGGTAGTTGACCCTCTTAGTCCGTTATTGCTAAAATTAGGGCATAATTTGTCTTTATTTCAAAGAGGATTTTTCCCGCTTAATGGATCACTTTTTGTTACCAATGGGAAAAGTATATTTCATCTTAAATTCAAAATTAAGGTAATTTGGTTTGCACCAATTGAGAAAGCATAAATTTTATACACAATAGAATTATATATATACAATTCTTATTAATTGAATATATTTTTTAATTTCAGTATATGATCTAAACGAGTCGCACATACACCTTAATACATGTTCCTCGGCGTTGAGGGCATCCCCGAAGAGCGGGAGATTTTGTTACAGTCCGGATTGGCTGTCTTGTGTTTCTAATAAGTTGGTTTATAGTTGGCATGGGGAGTCATATACATAATGAGCTGGTTTGGATCAATCCTAACCTGATAATTTTCAAATTGATAAGGACTCTATAAAATCGGGTGATTAAAAAGATAAAAGACAACATCAAATTATAATTCTGCATTTAGTCGGTACGTTAGGAAAGAAGCATCAGAAATAGTAGAAAGAAAATATTCTCATTTATTAGGATCAAAAAGGGAATAAAGATTTTATGCAAATTTTGGATTTACAAAGAATCCGCTACTGTATCAATTATTCCGTAGGCTTGGGCTTCTTCTGCTGACATAAAAAAATCCCTTTCCATGTCTTTATATATCTGCCAGGAAGGTTTGCCTGTTCTTTGGCAATAAATATTTATCATAGTTGTTTGCATTTTCATTATTTCCGTCACTTCCATCATAGATTCGCCCGTGTTTCCCTCATAAAAAGAACTAGCAGGTTGATGCAGCATTACCCTGAGAGTATACTATAATTAAGGTTTATTTCTCTTAATCTTACCGTAAAAAAAAAGAATGAAGAGATAGAAAAAAGAACTTCAATTTCTTTTTCGCCGTACAGGCAAGCCTCTTTTTTTCTTTATTTTTTATATAGCATACGGCTCTACTTTCAATTTTTCATTTTTTTGACCCTTCATTGAAAAAATACAAAAAAAAATATACCGGGTTTATCAGACCCAGATCAGTAAAGAATCTAATAACCACCCTTCTTTTTTTTTGAGAATCTTTTTTAAAGACTATGATGATTCCGTTGCTATCTTATTTCTTCTAGTTTTTGATTCAGCAATCCCAAAGTTTCTTTTTTTCAAATAAGTCCAAAAAATTGTAACACTAAAAGAGGCTCCGATAGATCAGATAAAATAGTAAATACCCCTTTTTCACACTACTCTTTCGATATATAATCTAATGGTTTTGAAAAAAAAAAATTTATTTTTGCATATCGAACTCAAAGTGCCATGCTTTTTTGACTTAATACTGGCGTAGACATAGTCTTCTTTTTTTTTTCTACAAATAAGAATCAGTGGCGCCAAGCATGAGGGAATGCTAGACGTTTGGTAATTTCTCCTCCTAACAAAATAAGAGATCCCATTGAAGCGGCTAATCCTACGCATACTGTCTGTACTTCTGCTTCTACAAATTGCATAACATCAAAAATTGCCATTCCAGATAGAATCCCTCCGCCTGGAGAATTTATAAACATATACAAATCTTTGTTCTTGTTCTCTAAACTTAGATATACCATTATACCGACGAGTTGATTTGATATTTCACTGCTAACCTCTTTACCTAAAAAAAGTAGTCTTTCGTGAAAAAGTCGATAGTATAAGTCAATCCAAGAAGCTTCATCCTCGCCGGGAACATCAAAGGCTACTTTGGGAACACCTACCGGCATAAACTGGAATGGAAATTGTCGACCGGATTTTGCTTTGGTGTGAGAACATCCGGAGACAGAATGAGTTGATTTTGTTCAAAATCATTTTTATTTCGCCAAATAACATCAAAAAAGAAGACTAAAGGAAAGTTTTGATGAATAGGTCGTTCTTGGATATGTCTCTACTGCTATTCTTGTTACGTGTTACTGGACGACTAATGAATTGAATTCTTTAAAATGAAAGAGGGGATTCTAACAAAAAGGATCTCCGACAACCAAAAAAAGTATATTTCTATATTTCCTATCGAATTGAATTCTAGAAATATTCTTCTTTGCTTCATGAATTATATTATTAGAAACCAATTAATCCTATTCACATTTTCATTGATCCTCAGTTTATAGTCCGAAGCTAATAATGAATGTAAAGAACCCTCAGCTTCTAGTTCTAGTATAAGAAAGTCTTCTATATATATAGAAAGCTCTATCTTTGTAATTAAACCAAGAAAGACCCGTAGACTTTTTTTTTGTGTCTAATACACGAACAACGAATCTTTCTTTTGACGAAAAAAGGGATTTGTTGTTCTTGTATTAGTATCCAGTGTCTGCATTCACTGATATAAACACGCATATAAAAAAAAACTAAACCCCACCACCATTGCCATTGCGTATTGTTACTTATCGGATATAGAATAGATCTGCTTCTTTTTGTTCCAACGAATAGAATGTTCCTTTGTTTCTAAAAAACTAGAACAAATATAAATTATTTCATGCGATATAATTTACTAATAAGGGGAAGGGCCATAGCATAGTTTTTTACAGTGCAATAAAGTTACATAGTGTCTATTTTTTGTTGATATAAGGGGTATTTTCATGGGTTTGCCTTGGTATCGTGTTCATACCGTTGTATTAAATGATCCCGGCCGTTTACTTTCTGTCCATATAATGCATACAGCTCTGGTTGCTGGTTGGGCCGGTTCGATGGCTTTATATGAATTAGCAGTTTTTGATCCCTCTGACCCGGTTCTTGACCCAATGTGGAGACAGGGTATGTTCGTTATACCCTTCATGACTCGTTTAGGAATAACCAATTCGTGGGGTGGTTGGAATATCACAGGAGGCACTATAACGAATCCGGGTATTTGGAGTTACGAAGGTGTGGCCGCGGCACATATTGTGTTTTCGGGCTTGTGCTTTTTGGCGGCTATTTGGCATTGGGTCTATTGGGATCTAGAAATCTTTTGTGATGAACGTACTGGAAAACCTTCTTTGGATTTACCAAAAATATTTGGAATTCATTTATTTCTTGCAGGGGTGGCGTGTTTTGGTTTTGGCGCCTTTCATGTAACAGGATTATTTGGTCCTGGAATATGGATATCCGATCCTTATGGACTAACAGGAAGGGTACAATCTGTAAATCCCGCATGGGGTGTGGACGGTTTTGATCCTTTTGTTCCGGGGGGAATAGCCTCTCATCATATTGCAGCAGGGACATTGGGCATATTAGCGGGTCTTTTCCATCTTAGTGTGCGTCCACCTCAACGTTTATACAAAGGATTGCGTATGGGAAATATTGAAACCGTCCTTTCCAGTAGTATCGCTGCTGTATTTTTTGCAGCTTTTGTTGTTGCTGGAACTATGTGGTATGGTTCAGCAACTACCCCGATTGAATTATTTGGTCCTACTCGTTATCAATGGGATCAGGGATACTTCCAGCAAGAAATATATCGAAGAGTTGGTGCTGGGCTAGTCAAAAATCAAAGTTTATCAGAAGCTTGGTCTAAAATTCCTGAAAAATTAGCTTTTTATGATTACATCGGTAATAATCCGGCAAAAGGGGGTTTGTTTAGAGCGGGCTCAATGGACAATGGAGATGGAATAGCGGTTGGTTGGTTAGGGCATCCTATCTTTAGAGACAAAGAGGGGCGTGAACTTTTTGTACGTCGTATGCCTACTTTTTTTGAAACATTTCCGGTTGTTTTGGTAGACGGAGACGGAATTGTTAGAGCGGATGTTCCTTTTCGAAGGGCAGAATCAAAGTATAGTGTCGAACAAGTCGGTGTAATTGTTGAATTCTATGGTGGTGAACTCAATGGAGTCAGTTATAGTGATCCTGCTACTGTGAAAAAATATGCTCGACGTGCTCAATTGGGTGAAATTTTTGAATTAGATCGTGCTACTTTAAAATCAGATGGTGTTTTTCGTAGCAGTCCAAGGGGTTGGTTTACTTTTGGACATGCTTCGTTTGCTCTGCTCTTCTTTTTCGGGCACATTTGGCATGGTGCTAGAACCTTGTTCAGAGATGTTTTTGCTGGTATTGATCCAGATTTGGATGCGCAAGTAGAATTTGGAGCATTCCAAAAACTTGGAGATCCAACTACAAAAAAACAGGGAGTCTGATAGAAATAGGTTTGTTCCTTTTCGATTCGACTTTTTTTGTTGTTATTTGAATTTGATATAGGGAACTAGAGAAATATTGATTTCAATCATTCCATTTTGTTTTACTCTGGTTCTTTCTTTTTCTTTATCCAGGAGATAATTCCCCCAAAACAGGTATGAAAGCTATAATTGTAAACCACGATCAAATCTATGGAAGCATTGGTTTATACATTCCTCTTAGTCTCGACTTTAGGAATCATTTTTTTCGCTATTTTTTTTAGAGAACCCCCTCAAGTTCCAACTAAAAACACAAAATGATTTTTAATTATCTCAATTGAAGTAACGAGCCTCCAATATTACGATATTGGGGGCTCATTACTTCAACTAGTCCCCATGTTCTTCGAATGGATCTCTTAGTTGTTGAGAGGGTTGCCCAAAAGCAGTATATAAGGCATACCCAGTAAAACTTACAATTAAACCGGATATAGAGATGGCAATTAGGGTTGTTGTTTCCATGATTATAGAATATCAAGACTACAATGGATCTATAGGGTACGATCCTTTATCTACAGCGGAATGGTATACAAAGTCAACAGATCTCAATAAAAAAAAGATATATAGGATTTATGGCTACACAAACCGTTGAGGGTAGTTCTAGATCTGGTCCAAGACGAACTGTTGTAGGAGATTTATTGAAACCATTGAATTCAGAATATGGTAAAGTAGCTCCGGGGTGGGGAACTACCCCTTTGATGGGGATTGCAATGGCCCTATTTGCGGTATTTCTCTCTATTATTTTAGAGATTTATAATTCGTCCCTTTTACTGGACCAAATTTCTATGAATTAGAGAATTAGATTCACAAGAACCAACTAACTAGCTTTTCAATCGAAAAGTCAAGTTTAGCATTTAAATCGTTAATTTTTAGCCCATTCCATTTTGATTTGGTAGTTCGACCGCGAAACTTCTTTGTTTCTGTATTTCCGGAATATGAGTGTGTGACTTGTTATAATGGATCCTATTGATAGTACAGAACAGAAAATGGATACGTCATCTTATCTTGATAGATGGCTTTCCCCCGTCAGATATTTATTCTAGTATCTGGAGCACGGAATATAGAAAATAAATAGATTCTAAAGTGTTAGAACTATGATTCATACTTCATATTTATATTGATATTTAGACCTCGCAACCGGACGAAAAAAAATGAAAGAATTATAAGAATTCATTTAGAAAAAGAAATGGAATTTTATTCTTTAAAACTGCCACCGCTTATCATTTCTTTGTCTTTTTTTTTTTCATTCTATCTATTAATTGAATAAATGATGATCCAGCAGTTCTTACTCAGGGAATTTATGGACTTCGATTAAAGGTTTTTTGGGGAAATCATCGTGGTTCTGGTATGAATCTCAGGTTTTTAAATTGATTCTATAGGGTCTTAACAAGAAAATTCTTATTAATCATAAAAAAAAACAGCAGTAAAATCTTATTACATACACAATACAAAAAAAATGAAGTAAATAATAGAATATTCAAGAGGCCGGTAAGGATCAAGAGAAAAGACGAGTGAGCCGACTTGAAATTTTGACATTATAAACACTAAGAATAGCTTTTGGATTTCTATTTTTTTTTATCTTCAAAAAAGACTGGAATAATAGGATTAAGTGAAAAAGTTTAAGACTTTCTATTACACGTATCCGTTTTCCAAATAACCAGTATTTGAGTATTTTTGTTTGAGCCGTACGAGATGAAATTCTCATATACGGTTCTCAGGGGGGTCCCTTGGTTTACCTATCTCAATAAAGTCTATGATTGGTTCGAAGAACGTCTTGAGATTCAGGCGATTGCCGATGATATAACTAGTAAATATGTACCTCCTCATGTCAATATATTTTATTGTTTAGGAGGAATTACACTTACTTGTTTTTTAGTCCAAGTAGCGACGGGTTTCGCTATGACTTTTTATTATCGTCCAACCGTTACGGAGGCTTTTGCTTCTGTTCAATATATAATGACTGAGGCTAACTTTGGTTGGTTAATCCGATCAGTTCATCGATGGTCAGCAAGTATGATGGTCTTAATGATGATCTTGCACGTATTTCGCGTGTATCTCACTGGTGGTTTTAAAAAACCTCGCGAATTGACTTGGGTTACAGGTGTAGTTTTGGTGTATTGACTGCATCCTTTGGTGTAACAGGTTATTCCTTACCTTGGGACCAAATCGGTTATTGGGCAGTCAAAATTGTAACGGGTGTACCCGACCGCTATTCCTGTAATAGGATCCTCGGTGGTAGAGTTATTGCGCGGCAGTGCTAGTGTGGGACAATCTACCTTGACTCGTTTTTATAGTTTACATACTTTTGTATTACCTCTTCTTACTGCCGTATTCATGTTAATGCACTTTCCAATGATACGTAAGCAAGGAATTTCTGGTACTTTATAGAGAATATGAATCATAGAGATTTGTAATCAATCATTTTGGGGAGGAGTAATAGTATTTCATTGCTACAAATATGCATTATTTTTCTTTAATAAGACATGTATTTGGATATTTCCCTTCAACTTAACAAAATAAACTGGATTCTTTATTTGACATACACAAATAGTTGAAGGGAACTCTCCGAAAAAAAGAATGATTATGGGAGTGTGTGACTTGAACTATTGATTGGCCATGCAGATATATGACTTGATCTTATCTGCCACATTTGAATTCACAATGAAATGTGTCTTTGTTCCAACCACCGCGTCAGTCCTCTACAGAGGATAGTCCGGTTCGCTTGAAGATAATCTTTTCTATGATCAGACTCGATCATATCCTGCATGAACAGGCTCCGTAATATCCAGTAAAAACAAGGAATATGATATAATCTAGATTATGTCGTATGTATTTCATTAAACTTACATAGTATGGAAATGCATTCATTTCCTATGCATTGACTCAATTTATGATACTATCGGAGTTAAACAAGTAGATCTAAAGAAAAAGGGGGGTTGTATTCTATTAGTAACAAGTAAATCCTTTCTATGTCAAAAATTCCAAAATTCATTTTTCGAGGTATAACAGGCGAAAGGTTTGAGATCACCCAGAAAGAACTTTTGATTTTTATTTTAAAACTTACTTGGGTGAAAAGCATTTACTTAAAAATAAGAACTTAATTTTTTGCAATGGATAGTTGTAATTTCGGAAAAAAAAGAATTCAACCCGTTTTAATTACATAGAATCATGATATATGAGTGACTCACATCTACAAAATTTCTATGTCTGCATTCAGTTGGTTTGATTCGTGCTCGAGCCGGATGATGAAAAATTATCATGTCCGGTTCTTTCGGAGGATGGATCTATAAGAATTCACCTATCCCAATAACAAAAAAACCTGACTTGAATGATCCTGTATTAAGAGCAAAATTGGCCAAAGGGATGGGTCATAATTATTATGGCGAACCCGCATGGCCTAATGATCTTTTATATATTTTTCCAGTAGTTATTCTGGGTACTATTGCCTGTAACGTAGGCTTAGCGGTTCTCGAACCATCAATGATTGGGGAACCCGCAGATCCGTTTGCAACTCCTTTGGAAATATTGCCCGAATGGTATTTTTTTCCCGTATTTCAAATACTTCGTACCGTACCCAATAAATTATTGGGCGTTCTTTTAATGGTTTCAGTACCGGCGGGATTATTAACAGTACCTTTTTTGGAGAATGTGAATAAGTTCCAAAACCCATTTCGGCGTCCAGTAGCAACAACCGTCTTTTTGATTGGTACTGTCGTGGCTCTTTGGTTGGGTATTGGAGCAACATTACCTATTGAAAAATCCCTAACGTTAGGTCTTTTTAAATTGATTCTATTGTAAAATATCATGACAGGTGTATTGTGTTGTGTATCTAGGGAAAATTCACTTTGAAATGACTAATCCCTAGATACATCTATTTCATTTTAGACCTATTCTGAATATATTGATTTGTGCTAAAGATTCAAATTTCATATTTGAACCTTTCTTTTTATAAAAAATGAAAGATTCAAAAAAATCCAATAGATTTTCAATTTATAAAAATGCTTTTCGATTTGTAAAAAGTTGAATAAATATTTTGTAAATCTTCTACGCGAAAATGTTCAATTTTCAGAAGGTCTTCTTGAGTCTTATTCAAAAGTTCAAATAAAGTATGTATATTGGACTTTTTAAGACAATTATAGATCCGGGGAGGCAATTCTAATTGGTCAATAAAAGTAGATTTCAATTTCATTTCTTTTTTATTTTTCCTTAGTTTATCCTTAACCAATCTATCATGAAAAGTAAAAAGGGGCAAAGTAATTTTGTGTTGATTGTTTTCAAAATTTAAGTTTTCTTCTTCTGCATGTAAAAAAGGAATAAATAAATCAATCAAATTCCGGGAGGCTTCATAAAGTGCTTCCTTAGGAGTTAAACTTCCATTTGTCCATATTTCGAGAACTAGTATCTCTTGTTTTTCATTTCCATTCACATAAGAATGAATACTATGATTTGCATTTCTAACAGGCATGAATACAGCATCTATAGTATAACTTCCATCTTGAATGTTGTTTAGTGTTTTTAATCGATATCCCCGCTTTCTATCAATTTCTAATTCAATACACAAATTAATAGGTTCTGTTAGGTTAGCTATATGTTGTGTATTATCAAGACTTCCACCGAAGGTGGTAAAATGATGTCTTGAGCAGTTACATATCCAGGACCATTGAAACAAATAGACGCGTCCCGAGTTCCATACAGATTACTTCTCAATACAACTTCTTTTAAATTCATTAAAATTTCATGTATTGATCTTGAATACCTATTATGGTAGAATATTCATGTGGTATTTTCTCAGATTTTGCACGTGTGATACATGTTCCCTCTATTTCTCCGAGCAAAATTCTTCGCATTGCAATGCCTATTGTATCTGCTTGACCTTTCATAAGTGGAGACATAATAAAGCGTCCATAATAAAGACGCTTACTGTCTACCCTTGAATTCAACACACTTCCACTGTAGTGTCTGAGTAGATACTTTTAGTTTTTCTCGAATCATAGTAATATATTTTTATGAAACTCTTGATTTAATTGTTTATTTCTCTTGAAATATTTTTCTTTAATGTTTATTGTTAGTTTTACACACGTCTTTTTTTAGGAGCCCTACATCCATTATGTGACATAGGGGTTACATCCCGTATAAACCCTTACTCGTATCCGACTTCCAGAAATAGCTCTTAATGCCGCCTCTCTTCCTAGACCGGGACCTTTTATCATGACGTCTGCTCGTTGCATGCCTTGATCGACTACTGTTTGAATAGCATTTCCCGCTGCGGTTAGAGCGGCAAATGGTGTCCCCCTTCGTGTACCCTTGAATCCACATGAACCGGCGGAGGACCAAGAAATCACCCGACCTCTTACATCTGTAACAGTCACAATGGTATTGTTGAAACTAGCTTGAATATAAATAAACCCCCTTTGGTATTTTACGAGGATGCTTACGCGAACCAATACGTCCAGTTTTACGTGAACCAATTTTTGGTATAGATTTTGCCATGTTTTATTATTTAAAAAAATATAAGTCCGAAATATATGGATATATCCATTTCCTGTCAAAAAACGATTCTTGACTATTTTCTAACTAGTTATTCTATGTATTCTATAATTCAATTAATATAGAATACCATTTTCAAATATCAAGGAATAAGCAATTATATTTATGAGAATACTTATAACTATAGACTCTATTCGAATATAGAATCTATATTTTTAGATAGAGTATTTAATAAAATGGAATATTCATAAGATTTTTTATTTGAATTCTATTACAATTCAAATAAAAAATCTTATGAATAGAAAGACCTTTTTTCTTTTAATATTATCCTTGTCTTTGTTTATGTTTTGGATTGGAACAAATTACTATAAGTCGACCTCGCCTACGGATCAATCGACATTTTTCACAATTTACGAACAGAGGCCGCCACTTTCATATTTTTTCACTCCTTAAATTAAATTGAATACCAATTTTATAGATTGCAAGAAATAGGGTTTCCTTACATTTTGAACTTCAAATTGTTCCTCCTAAAAAATATGTTGAAGTTATAAAATAGTCTAATCGAATGGAGTCAGCTATACTTCCTTTTTGGTCGTATCCAGTGGAAACATAACCTAGAATCTGATTTGAATTCTATTTCTCTAAAGCAACCTCAACCTGCAACATACCTCAGAAGTTGTCGATTAATTTAATCTTTATTAATTTTCATTTCTATTCTAGTTAAAACCTCTTCCCATATTCACTAATGTATCATGAATAATATTAGAAATCTGTTTTTTCTCTACTCCCTCCATTCACAATACTGTTGGCTCTAAGTTTTTTTCATATAATTCAGATATCGGCAAAATTAGCATTACCATATATAACATAAAACTTCTCCCCCGATTTTTTCTAATCGAGCCTCTCGATCTGTCATTATACCCCTAGAAGTAGAAAGAATTACAATCCCCATCCCTCCTAAAACTTTCGGAATTTTTTGATACTTAGAATATATTCGTAGACAAGGTGTACTGATCCTTTTAAATTTAAAAAAGTTTTATAGGATCCTTTCCTATTTCTTCTATACCGTAGAGTTAAAACTAAAAAGTATTTGTTGCTTTCTCGATGTTTTCTGACGTTTTCATCAACAAAACCCTCTCGTAAAAGAATTTTTACAATGTTTTCGGTGATATTAGTAAGTGGTATTTTAACAGTTCTTTTTTCTATTCATGTCAGCATTGCGTATCAAGGTTAGTATAATCAGCGATAGTATCTTTACCCACGATAGATTTTTGCTCCTTTACTTTCGATATAATCAACGTGCTCCCGTTTTTTGATTTTTTTATTTTTTGATTCAATCAAATCTCTCATATTGAATATGAGAATAGAATAATACTCTATATGTATAGAAAATTTGATTGTAATTAGGATAATCTAAATATCCGAATATAGAATATCTAAAACTAAAAAAGATAGAAATAAAATGAACGAATGACCTATTCGAAACTATATAAATAATCTTATATTGAATTCGAATTCTATTTTTTTATACAAATAGAATTCGAATTTTTATTTTGAATATATTGACTTGAATATAGAATATATATTTCATTCGTATTCTAATCTATTTCCTATTCATTCAAGTCATAAATAATATATCTATATCATGATCTCTTATTATAATACCTCAGGTGCTAATGAAACTATTTTAGTGAAATTTAACTGTCTCAATTCTCGGGCTATTGCGGAAAAATTCGAGTTCCTTTTGGATTTCCTTCTTTATCAATGAGAACCGCCGCATTATCATCATACTTTATTATTATACCATTACGACGTTTTAGTTCTTTACAAGTACGTACAATTACAGCTCTGATGACTTGAGATCTTTTTAAAGATGAATTTGGCACTGCTTTTTTGATTACAGCAACAACAATGTCACCAATATAAGCATACCTTCGATTACTAGCTCCTATGATTCGAATACACATCAATTCGCGCGCTCCACTATTATCGGCTACATTTAAATAGGTTTGAGGTTGAATCATATCCTTTTTTTCTTATCTTTCAGTTTCAGTCAAAAAGTTGAAGTAAAAAAATATTTTGTGTTCAAAAAAAAAACGGAGAATTGCCTTTTTTCATACTAAAGATCTCTTTCGTTCTAATGATTATTCGGAAAGAATTAAATTGAGTTCGTATAGGCATTTTGATGCCGCTATTGAAATCGCCTTTCTAGCGATATTTTCTGGAACACCTCCCATTTCATAAAGTATTTTGCCGGGTTTAACAACAGCTACCCAATATTCGGGCGATCCTTTTCCCGAACCCATACGCGTTTCGGTAGGTCTTACTGTAACAGGTTTGTCTGGAAATATGCGTACCCATATTTGTCCACCCCGGCGAACATTTCGTGACATTGCCCGTCGACCCGCTTCTAGTTGTCTAGATGTGATCCAAGCGGGCTCAAGTGCCTGAAGAGCATATTTTCCGAAGCAAATTTGACTACCACGAGAGGCTTTTCCTTTCATTCTTCCTCTATGATGTTTGCGGAATCTCGTTCTTTTTGGGTTATAGTTGATGGTTATTTCTCAATTCCATCTCTATTACAGAACCGTACATGAAATTTTCACCTCATACGGCTCCTCGCGAATAAATCGATTGAAAAATATTGAATCGAGATAATAATAATAATTACTACAATAAGATACAACAGAATATAATCGCGGGATTTTTTTACATTTAATAGAATCTATTGATCTATTAGAGATTTTTTAATCTTGCTTTGATATATAACGAAATATGTATTCTTATAGACCATTTTTGCTATCCGTATCTAACTAGCTAATATTTTTTGGATATAAGGTTCTAACGAATCAGTATTTTTCTTTTTTTATTATTATCATATTGGATTGGCAAAAATTTATCAATTCCAAAAAAAATCCACATTTTCGCGGGAGAATATTTACTCTCTCATTATAAATTGATTAAATTGAAGATGTAATGTAGGGTTAGTCCACAACTCCTCAAAAAAGAATGAATTCTTAGTTCCTTCCGCATCCCATCTAATGAATCAGTAAGATTTCAAATTTTAATATAATCTTTTGTATTCACAGGTTCCGTCGTTCCCATCGCTTTTCAATTTATGGTTAGGTCTAAATTCTACAATGGAGCCTCTTTAATTAAGAGATTCCATTTTTTTTATTTTCTTATTTTCTTCTTTTTGTTGAATCAACCTTCTCAGTTTTCTTGGATTCGTGGCTCTTGATTCGTTTATTCTAGGAATATATTCATCCATATATGGATGAATTTTGAAGATTGATGCTTTATTACACTACTTTTTATGAGATGACCCATAGACCTTTACATAGGAGAATTCTATATCATTGATATCCTTTTTCTATCTTTCTTTCACCCCTTCATTTATCTGTATATTCTTATTGCTTTACAACTAATAATCTTTTTTTTTTTTTTATTTCAGTTGCTATAATATATATCATCACATAGATCCTTATTTTGATTTTAGATTTTCGGCGGTTCTTTATATCCAGATAATGGGAAGCGATGAGTAGGTTATTTATTCTTTAGTAATTAATTCGACGAATTTTTGTAGAAAATTAACCACTCTAAAAAAAAACCAACGAGTCACACACTAAGCATAGCAACTCCTTCATTATAAAATGATTAATTAATTTTTTTTTATTTAATCTTTTAAAATTTTTCATTTCTTCTTTGAGAATAAGAACGTAGTAAGAATTCGTCATTTTTTGTTTTCTCAAAAGATGGAACGTTATAAGGAAAAGGTTATTAGTCGTTGTTTATAAATATCCAAACTTTGATTCCTAAGACCTCATAAATAGTTCGAACTGGATAGGAACAATAATCAATTTTAGCTCGAATGGTTTGTAGAGGAATCCTACCTTCTCTGATCATTCGACACGTGCAATTTCGTTTCCGTCGATGCGTCCCGCAATTTGTATTTGAACTCCTTTTGTACCTGCACCTGCCTCTTCAGCGAATTTTTTTATAGTTTTTTGCATTGCTTTACGAAACGGAATTCTATTCTTTAATTGTCTGGCTAGAAATTCTGCAGAATATTCGGGTCTCTATAAACATTTGGAATTCTTGTAATTTCAATGTTGATTTGTCGGTTCACACAATTTATTTTTTTTTGCACATTAGTATGTAATTCTTCCATTCTTTCAGGGTTATCCTCTATTACTAAGTTTGGGTTTGGAAGTCCCATATTGATTATCACGTGAATCAGATCGCGTGTTTTTTTAATCTTTATTCGTCCAATTCCCTCGCCATCGACAGCGGTTGTTGTTTTTTGTATTTTTTGTATATAATTCTTGATACAATCTCGTATTATTTTATCTTCTTTTACATTCTCGGAATAAATTCTTGGTTGTGCAAACCAAATAGAATCATGACTTTGAGTTGTACCAAGTCTGAAACCAAGCGGATGTATTTTTTGTCCCATAATCCCTCACTACTCTATATAAAATAATACGTCTGATTTGTCTACTTTTTTATCTATATATATATATTTTTTTTAATATCTTGATATATCTTTTTTTTTTCTGCAAAGCATTAGTTCTATTATAATAACCCTTTCAATTTTTGAATATTATTAATTACCATTCACGCTTTGTGTTGTGAATAGACAAAAATATTTTTTGAACAAAGGGTTATATTTCTCTGTATTGGTTCTATTTTCACGAAAAAATAAAATCTGTTTTTTTTGATTGCAGAATAATACAATTCTTTTTGAGTAATTTATTAATTAATATTTATTAATGACTATTACTAAATTTATGTTAAAATGAATGTTAACGACGAGATCTATTATCATTTTTCGCAAAGCCTCGGAAGTTTCGAGTAGGTGAAAATTCTCCCAATTTATGGCCTACCATACGATCTGTTATATAAATAGGTAAATGCTCTTTTCCATTATGGATAGCAATGGTATGCCCAATCATTGTAGGTAGAATGGTAGATCTTCTGGACCAAGTTATTATTATTTCTTTTTCTCCTTTTGTGTTAAGCTTATTTATTTTTCTTAATAAATGATTCGCTACAAAAGGATTTTTTTTTAGTGAACGTGTCATAGTTAATTATTCCTCTTAAAATTTCTAAAAAAATGAATTTTTTCTCTTATATTTTTATTTTATTTAATTTTAAAATATAGGATCTCTTTTAAAATATAGAATCTCTCAAAAAAGAAAATCATAGAATGTCATAGTCAATCGCTCTTTTCTTTTGTAAAGACGAAGAAACAAATTCTATTTTCTCTACTATCCACTATTGACTACGGCGACGAAGAATCAATTATCACTATAATTCTTCCTTTTTCTAGTTCTTCTTCCAAGTGCAGGATACCCCCAAGGAGTTGAGGGTTTTTTTCTACCAATTGGGGCCCTCCCCTTCACCACCCCCATGTGGATGGTCTACAGGGTTCATAACTACCCCTCTTACTACAGGACGCTTGCCTCGCCAACGTTTAGCTCCGGCTCTGCCAAACTTTTCTGGTTTACCCCAACATTCCCCACTTGTCCGACTGTAGCTGAGCAGTTTTTTGATATCAAACGGACCTCTCCAGAAGGTAATTTAATGTTGCTGATTTACCCTCTTTTGCAATCAGTTTCGCTACAGCACCCGCTGCTCTAGCTAATTGTCCACCCTTTCCAGTGTTATTTCTATGTTATGTATGGCCGTGCCTAAGGGCATATCGGTTGAAGTAGATTCGTCTTTTGATCAATCAAAACCCCTTCCCAACTGTACAAGCTTCTTCCAAAGCATACGGCTTTCTGGTGTAGATTAGAATATCTATACAGATACATCTTATATATCGTTTATTTCGTATATTATATATGACATAACGAAGTACCATAACCACATGAGTGGATATATAAATATACGAATCCAAATATTCTGAATGACTCATGTTATGATCTTCTACATCCTAGGTCTTTCTGTTCCTTCATCTGGCTTATGTTCTTCATGTAGCATTCAGACCGAATGACTCTATGAAATTACGTTGCTACTTAGACATAGTACGGGTAACGTAGGAGACATTTCTATTTTTTCCCGGGGGAATCCTTAGAATTACCACTGCTTAGCTTTCAATTTGCCTTTGACCATCAAATGAAATGTGAATAATCTGTGTCTTCCCCCCTTTGTTTTTTGAAACGAGGAGCACTTCGTGTTCTGTCGGTGCTGAAACAATTTTGTCTTCTCCATATTACTATATCTCTAGGGTCAATAATTTTATATTAGGAACTACTGAACTCAATCACTTGCTGCTATTACTCTTCAGTTTTCTGTTTGAAGTCTATCCTGTAGAGGTACTCAAATAGGATCAGTGATCGATTTCTAGGTTTCGCCTTAAACCTAATTGGTTACTTCCAATTACGTAAATATATAGTTCAAACCGCACTCAAAGGTAGGGCATTTCCCATTTTTATAGGAACTTTTGTACCATAAATAATGGTATCTCCAATTATAGCCCCTCTGGGGTGTAAAATATATCTTTTCTCACCATCCCCATAGTGTATGAGACAAATGTGTGCATTTCGATAGGGTCGTATTCGATAGTTACAATTCTACCATATATGTCTTTTTCATTGCGTCGAAAATCAATTTTACGGTATAGACGCTTATGACCTCCCCCTCTATGCCCTGCGGTAATGATTCCTCTGGCATTACGCCCCTTTACCATAATGATGCTGTCCAGAAATCAAACGATTTCGTGAATTGGATTTCACTTGACTGTTTACGGCTCCATTGCGTGTGTTCGGGCTAGAAGTTTTGGATAAATGTATCGCCATGTTATGAAGTGTATTTTTATTTAAGTTATTTTCTTTCTAAGAGGTGGAATAGAATAACCCGGTTGAAGCGTAATGATCATACGTTTGTAATGCCTTGTATGTCCCATAATAGGTCGTATTCTTCTACCCTTTATTGGGATTGCGAGTTGATTCATAGTTCTTACCTTGACACCAAAGAAGAGTTCGACCCAATGTTTTCTTTTTGTCCTAGTTATCCTGATTTGACATGAAAAGTATATTGATTTTTTCGAAATAACGAAAATTTAGTGTCTGTAAATACTGCAGATTTTATTCCATTCATAAATCTATTTTATTCTTTCTTCCCGATGAGTTCTAGTCTCACTAAAAATACTAGTTTTTTACTGTTCATTTATTAAAATTTGAATATACCACACCAATTTGTTATGTATGGATGATGAGATTCCATTGATACAGATCCAAGTCTCGATTCAAATACTACTAAGCTAAGAGGTCTACTACAGATCAGAAATTATTTAAATAGAATAAATAAAGAAATTCTTTCTTTATTTAGAAATGATCAATTCTTGAAGTTTCTATTATTTTCAAATTCAATTATTAAAGAAAGAAGAAGATGTTTCTTTTTTTCTTTGGAGGAAATTGGAAAAGAAAGAAATAGCCAATATAGTCAAGATAATCATGTATTTACAAAATAATGTCTCAATTCATCCTATATTCATCCGATGGAGGATGTGATAGGATTGCAAAGGAGAAACTTTTGACAGTTCAAAATAATAATTCATGATTAAAAATATAGTTTTTAGGGGAGATATTTCTATTGGCATGCATCCAGTAGGAATTGAACCTACGACTTCGCCAATTATGAGTTGGGCGCTTTAACCATTCAGCCATGGATGCTTCGAGGGAACAACCCTCCGACTTGATGAATAACCAAATTTCAATTGAAGTGAAATCTTTTGGATAAATCAATAGAAATACATACATAAAGAAATAACTTAATAGAAATACATACATAAAGAAATAACTTAATAGAAATACATACATAAAGAAATAACTTAATAGAAATACATACATAAATAAATAACTTAATAGAAATACATACATAAAGAGATAAATTATTTTTAATTTTTTAAGGAGGATCCTATGAAGAACAATCAATTCCACTTTTGGATTTTCGAATTGCGAGAAATTTTTAGAGAGAGCAAGAATTGTGCCTATTTCTTAGATTCCTGGACGCAATTCAATTCAGCGATATCTGTCATTCACATTTTTTTGCATCAAGAGAGTTTGATAAAAGTCTTAGACTCCAGAATTTGGAGTATCCTAGTTTCACGTCAGTCACAGGGTTTAACAAGAAATCGATATTTCACGATCAAGAATGTAGTACTTTTTGTAGTAGCGATCCTTCTATATCGTATTAACAATCGAAGGATGATCGGAAGAAAAAAATATTTATTTGACAGGGCTTCTTCCTATACAAATAAATTCCATTGGATCCGGCAATGATAGATTGGAAGACTCAAAAGATTCGTTCAATATCAATAGGTTGATTGTTCCGCTCCTGTCTGGTCCAAAAGAAAAAAAGATCTCTGATCGCTCTTTTTTCTCGGACAGATGGTCCCAACTTCATCTGGATTTGAATCCTACTGAGAAGTCCGCTCAAGATCTTCAATTATTAAAGAAAGAAGAAGATGTTTCTTTTGTTCTTTGGAGGAAATTGGAAAAGAAAGAACTAGCCAATATAGTCAAGATAATCATGTATTTACAAAATAATGTCTCAATTCATCCTATTTCATCCGATGGAGGATGTGATAGGATTGCAAAGGAGAAACTTTTGACAGTTCAAAATAATAATTCATTCTTGACCAAAAATCTAGTTTTTGGTTTATTTCATCTATTCCATGACCAGAATAGGGGGGTACTTGTTACATCGCAATTTTCAATCAGAAGAGAGATTTCAAGAAATGGCAAATCTATTTAATCTATCACTAACTAAGCCGGATCTGGTCTATCGTAATGCATTCTCTTTTTCTATTGGGTTTTCTGAACCGGAATCAAAAAAAAATCTTTATTGGTTCTGCCGCGGCTTTTTGACGAAGCGAATGAATCTTTTTATCCAAAGATCATAAAAAAATGGGTCTAGACCTCTTGTGGGAATTATTTTCAAGGTAATCGATTCAATCGCAACTTCGAATATGTACTTCAAAGGTATCAAAATGATATTCTGAATCATAGACCTATAAGGAAACACACGATCAATCAACGTTTCTCAAATTTGAAAAAGAGTCAGAAGAAATGCTTTGATCGTCTTATTTTTATTTATCGAACCGAGAGATCCGTGAATAAGGATCCAAATGCATATAAATACAAATGGTCCAAGGGGAGCACAAATTTCCAAGAACATTTGGACCATTTCATTTCTGAGCAGAATAGTCGTTTTAAAGTAGTGTTCGATCGATTACATATGAATGCATATTCGATTGATTGGGCTGAGGTTATCGACAAAAAAGATTTTTCTAAGTCACTTTGTTTCTTTTTGTCCAAGCTTCTTCCCTTTTTGTCTAACTCACTTCCTTTTTTCTTTGTGAGTTTCGGGAGTATGCCCGTTCATAGGTCCCAGAGCCATATGTATGAATTGAAACGTATGAATGATGCACTCGAGAATCAGTTGTTAGAATCAATAGGTCTGCAAACGGTTCATTTGAAAAAAAGGAAATCCCCATTATTGGATGACTATTATACTTCTCAAAAATCAAAATTCTTGATCAATGAAGGAACAATATTACCATTTTTGTTCAATAAGATACCAAACCAAGACAATTGGCTGAATCCTGTGAAATGTTTTCATAGAAGTTCATTGATGTCCTCTTTTTATAAAGTAAATCGACTTCGATTCTTGAATAATCAATATAACTTCTCTTTCGATTGTAACAAAAGATTCTCTTTTTATGGGGAAAGGTCCTATAATTATGATTTTATGTATGAACAATTCCTCAATGTCTTGTTCATTCGAAAGAAAAGATTTTCTTTGTGCGGCGGTAAAAAAACACATGCTTTTTTGGACAGAGATACTATTTCACCAAGCGAGTTAGAGGTGTCTAAGATATTGAGACCGAAGAATTTTCCGCAAAGTGGTGATGACGGATATGACTTGTACAAATCTTTCCATTTTTCAACTCGTGTTCCTAGATCTATTTACTCGATCGCGGACATTTCTGGAACACCTCTAACAGAGGAAGAAATAGTGAATTTGGAAAGAACTTCTTGTCAACCTCTTTCCCTTATTAATTTATCTGATTCAAAAAGGAAGAACTTGCATCAGTATCTTGATTTCGATTCAAACATGGGTTTGGGTTTGCTTGACACTCTATATTCTGAAAAATTTATACCATCCGCAAAGAGGAAAAAACCTCTAAAAAAATTCCTTGGAAAAGGGCAGATGTATAGAAACTTTCAAAGAAAAAGAAAAAGAAAGAGTATTTCTTCAATTCTCTCCAAATTGAAGCGATTACGCCCGTATATAATACCGTTGTTCCTTACCTGGACAGGGCACAAATATATCAATTTCATATTTTTAGATACTCTTTCAGACCTATTTGCGATACTAAGGAGGAGTCCTCAATTTAAAAAATTTGTATCTATTTGGCAGAATATTATGCATGGATCCAAGGGAAGTCTTCGGAAAAAACTGTGGGGAATTCTTCGGAAAAAACTGTGTCTTTCACAACGGAATCGTATAAGTGAGATTTCGAGTAAGTCTTTCCATAATTTTCTTGTAGACATGTACAAAGATCTTTTTCACACAAATAATGAGTCACCATTCATATCGACACATCTGAGATCACGAAATATTGAGGAGTTCCTGGTTTCAATCCTTTTACTTCTTCTTGTTACTGGATATCTTGTTTATACACATCTTTTCTTTGTTTCTCGCTTCTCTAATGAGTTACAGACAGAGTTCGAACAGGTCAAATCTTTGATGATTCCATCCTACATCATTGAATTGCGAAAACTTCTGGATAGGTATCCTCTATCAGAACAAAATTCTTTCTGGTTAAAGGATATCTTTGGAGTTGCTCGAGAACAATTAGGAAATTTTTTAGAAGAAAGGCGAGGTTGGCCTTCTGGCGGGGACATCCCAAGGGGTGGTGGTTTCGCTGATGGGGTCAAATCCATACGTTCGAAGAAGAACGGTTTTAATCTCATGGATCTCATAAGTATTATACCAAATCCCATCAATCGAATCGCGTTTTTGAGAAATACGAGACATTTAAGTCATACAAGTAAAGCAATCTATTCATTGATAAGGAAAAGAAAAAACATGAATAGTAATTGGATTGATGATAAAATAGAATCCTGGATCTCGACTAGTGATTTCATTGCTGATAAAGAAAGAGAATTCTTGGTTCAGTTCTCTACCTTAACGACAGAAAAAAGGCTGGATCAAATTTTATTGAGTCTGACTAATAGTGATCAGTTATCAAAGAATAACTCTGGTTATCAAATGATTGAGCAACCAGGAACAATTTACTTACGATATTTAATTGACATTCATAAAAAGGATCTGATGAATTATGAGTTCAATACATCCTGCTTAGCAGAAAGACGGGTATTCCTCGCTCATTATCAGACAATCACTTATTCAGAAATCCCGTGTGGGGCTAGTTGTTTGGATTTATCATCTCATGGGAAACCCTTTTCGCTACGCTTAGCCCTATCCCCTGCTAGGGGTATTTTAGTGATAGGTTCGATAGGAACTGGACGATCCTATTTGCTCAAATATCTAGCGACAACCACCTATGTTCCTTTCATTACAGTATTTGTAAACAAGTTCCTGGAGAACTTTCCTAAGGGTTTTGATAGTGATGATAGTGAGGACGACATGTTTGATGAAAGAGAGGGTACCATTTACAGTCTTTTACCTAATAACGAGGGTAGTTGCTATAATTCCGAGAATTATGAAAGGGATGATAGTGACGATCTCGACCGTAAGCTTGATAGCCAGTTGAAGTTTCTAAGTATGGAGGATCCGGTATCTAGCGATCTGATGGAAATAGACCGGTTTTATCTCACGCTTCAATTCGAATTAGCAAAAGCAATGTCTCCTTGCATAATTTGGATTCCAAACATTCATGATCTGGATAGGAATGAGTCGAATGACTTATCGCTGGGTATATTAGTGAACTCTCTTTCCAGCGATTCGGAAAAAGGTTCTACTAGAAATATTCTAGTTATTGCTTCTACTCATATTCCAAAAAAAGTAGACCCTGCTTTAATAGCTCCGAATAAATTAAATACATGCATTAAGATACGAAGGCTTCTTATTCCACAACAAAGAAAGCACTTTTTTACTCTTTCATATACTAGGGGATTTCACTTGGAAAAGCAAATATTCGATACTAATGGATTGGGGTCTATAACTCTGGGTTCTAATGTACGAGATCTTGTAGCACTTACTAATGAGGCGCTATCGATTAGTATTATACAAAAGAAATCTATTATAGACACTAATATAATTAGATCTGCTCTTCATAGACAAACTTGGGATTTTAGATCTCAGATAAGATCGATTCAGGATCATGGGATCCTTTTTTATCAGATAGGGAGGGCTGTTTCACAAAATCTACTTCTAAGTAATTGCTATATCGATCCTATATCTATCTATATGAAGAAGAAATCATGTGCAGAGGGGGATTCTTATTTGTACAAATGGTACTTCCAACTTGGAACAAGCATGAAGAAATTAACCATACTTCTTTATCTTTTGAGTTGTTCTGCCGGATCGGTCGCTCAAGATCTTTGGTCTCTACCCGGACCTAATGAAACAAATGATGGGATCACTTCTTATAGACTCCTTGAGAATGATTCTGATCTAGTTCATGGGCTATTAGAAATAGAAGGTGCTCTGCTGGAACCCTCACAGACAGGAAGTCGGTTTGATAATGATGGCGTGACATTGCTTCTTCGGTCCGAACCAAGAAATCCCTTAAATATGATTCAAAATGGGTCTTCTTCTATCGTTGATCAGAGATTTCTCTATGAAAAATATGAATCGGGGTTCGAAGAAGGGGAAGGAGTCTTCGACCCGCAACCGCTAGAGGAGGATTTATTCAATCACATACTTTAGGCTCCGAGACTGTGGCGCCCTTGGGGCTTTCTCTTTGACGAAGGGTCCAATGAATTGAGATTTCCCTATTGGGAAGGGTCATTTCAGGACAAACCGATCCTTGATGATTATGATGAAGAGGGTAAGCTTCAAGAGAATGATAATGATTCGCAGTTCTTGCAGGATGGAATCATGCAGGACCAGACACGAGCGAGATTTTCCAACGAACAGGGCTTTTTTCGAATAAGCCAATTCATTTGGGACCCCGCAGATCCACTGTTTTTGCTATTCCAAGAGGATCCTTTTGGATCTGTATTTTCACATCAAAAATTTTCTCCAGATGAAGAGATGTCAAGGATACTTTTGACTTCCCAAACCCAAAAAATTGATTGGAAATATCTAAATAAACCCTGGTTTAGGAAGAATATGCAAGAACAGAATTTCAAATTGTTGATTGATCGCCAGAGATGGTTTAGAACCAATAGTTCAGTATCAAATGAATTTTTTCGTTCTAATACTCTATACGAGAGTTATCAATATTTATCAAATCTGTTCCTATCTAACGGAACCCTATTGGCTCAACTCACAAAGACATTGTTGAGAAAAAAATGGCTTTTCCCAGACGAGATGGTTGTGACTATCTGTTCCAATAACGAACGATTGGTTTAACTGAATAATGAAATGAAATAAAATAGATACTTTCTTTCTCGTCGTCTCAAGTCGATATTAGGGGATCTTCTCAATTGAAAGATCCCCTAATATTGATAATCCATATTGCCGTTGACCGAGCCTACTTGTTTTGAAGCAAATAAAGAGATCCACAGGGTAATTTGTCCTATTCAGATATTCACGACCAATAAGTACAGAATTTTCTTTCTTTTCGGATAGGTCCTGTCCTGAAAGGAGAAAGAAGGTTGACATAGGCGGCTATTTTGGAATTCACCCGACCCGAGCGTACAGTACCCATTTTTTTGAATGTCGAGTGCCAAAGTCATTGAATGGGTAAGTCACCAATCTCCAAAATCAAATATATAATGTACTTTATCCGTTGGTTTAGGGTAGGGGGATTGCAGGTGGGACGATTTCAAAATGTACTCTCCATTCATTAGATAGATAAGATCACCAAAACTTCGTGATCTGCTGGCGAACTTATTCCAATTCAATTTCAATAAGAGATCTCAATATTATGCCTTGAAGAGGACTCGAACCTCCACGCTGTTTAGCACGAGATTTTGAGTCTCGCGTGTCTACCATTTCACCACCAAGGCATCCTTAAAGGGAATCATATTCTCTGAATATGATATCTATCTTATGTCATGGTTCAATATTATTATACTCCAATTCTAATCCAATTGCAACATAGAATACAACATCTCAAATAGAATACAACATCTCAAATAGAATACGGTACGATATAATACAGTATCTACTATATAATACAGCGAGAATAGAATTCTTTCTCGACTAAATAAATATAGCTTCTAGATGAACGAAAAGCTAGTCAAAGGGTCGATTCAAAATTGGTAGACGCTACGGACTTAATTGTATTGAGCTTTGGTATGGAAACATAGTAATGTTAAGTGAAAACATAACATAACATAATATAATACAGCATCTACTATATAATACAACATGTACTATATAATACAGCGAGAATAGAATCCTTTCTCGACTAAATAAATATAGCTTCTAGATGAACGAAAAGCAAGTCAAACGGGGGATATGGCGAAATTGGTAGACGCTACGGACTTAATTGTATTGAGCCTTGGTATGGAAACATATTAAGTGAAAACTTTCAAATTCAGAGAAACCCTGGAATTTTAAATGGGCAATCCTGAGCCAAATCCTTCTTTCCGAAAACAAAAAACTAAAAGTTCAGAAAAAAAGGATAGGTGCAGAGACTCAATGGAAGCTATTCTAACAAATGGAGTTGACAACATTCAATTGATTAATGAAGATTTCTAACTTCTATTTGTAAATTGTAACTATTTTTTTTAGTTTTGATTCGATCACAATTGAAACGAAACATTAGAATCAAATCAATTCCAACTGGAAGAAAAAATGGTGAATATTCATTGATCAAATCAGTCACTCCACCAAAATATGATGGATCTTTTGAATAACTGATTAATCAGACGAGAATAAAGATAGAGTCCCATTCTACATGTCAATACCGACATCAATGAAAGTTTTAGTAATCGGAAAATCCGTCGACTTTAAAAATCGTGAGGGTTCAAGTCCCTCTATCCCCAAAAGCCGATTGAATTTGCTCATTTTTATGGCCCTTTCCCTTTTTTTTATTGAGTTGACATAGACTCAAGTAATTTCCCTCAAATTAGGATGGTGCGTCAAGATTTTAATGGTCGGGATAGCTCAGCCGGTAGAGCAAAGGACTGAAAATCCTTGTGTCACCAGTTCAAATCTGGTTCCCGGCGACTCATTATGTATGAGTATCTATTCCCATATTTCTTTTCAAAAATCAAATATTGGGAGGAATAGATACATATTGATTAGTGGTCTTAATAATTATACATAATTTATCTAGGCGTACAGAGATATGCTCTTTCTGGATGAAAAAGGAATCGATGTATATTCTAGGAAGTATGAAAATGAATGATTCTAGTTTGTTTCGATTTTTTATGCGATGCAATAACAAATGTTCATATTTCAACAATATTCAAATGGTTCAATTAGTTGGTTGAACGACCAAAAAGTTGAATCTAGCGGAGTTCATAGGTAAGAATAGTCAAAATTTATCTGAGATACATTATCAAAAAATATGGTCCATTTCTTTGTATTTTCTTTGATCGTACTTTTTTATTTTTCGTAGCCAGATATCTACTACTCGGAATAGAAATAGGAAATTGACTTCATTATAGGACTTATTAATCTTGTAAAATTTTTAAAATATCGGGTAGGAGTCCATGCCGCTACTCGGACTCGAACCGAGATGCTCTAGCACTGCTTCCTAAGAGCAGCGTGTCTACCAATTCCACCATAGCGGCTGACTCGAAATCATAATAACCAATTATTTAGTCAAAGTCAATAGTCAATCGTCGAGATTGAATAAAGTGAAGTCCAATATTTATTGAGTACATTTCTTTACTATTTACTAAACATTTATTCTCAATTGATAATAAAACTAAATTGATAATAAAAAGTAATTTAATTTTTTCTAATATATAATAGAAATGAATATAGAAATATATGATATATGCAATCATTTTCAATTTAAGTAAAAGAAGTTTTGATTTCTATATTCATTTCTTTTTTTTTTCCCATGCAGTGTTCGTTTTCAAATTTAACAACGACGGGGAATGGGTTTTTTGTAGTTTAGACTTTTTCAAATAAAAAAAAGCACTGTTGAAACTAGAACTATCTAGTTCTGACTTCAATCCAGTAATGAAAAAGAAATTTTTTTTGTAGTTGCTTATGAATCATTCAAAAAAATGAGATTATATATATATCTAGAATATATTCTATATTCTATAATATAGAATATATTCTAAATATATGTTTATATATGTTTCATATTCTATAATAGTATTAGTATAAAATGACTATTAAAGAATACTCTTTGAATCGAGCTAATTCAGATTATTCTCGTCCAACATTTGTATTTCTTACAATAACACAACTTTTTTTTTGATTACGTGGCAAAAAAGGGCGAGGTTTTGTATTTATTACAATACGATAACTTTTTGAGGTACCTGTCAAAATAGAGTCAGCTAATGAAAAGGCTTTCAATGCTGCCTTATATCCTTTTTTTTTCCAAAAATTCTTACGAATTTTTTTTTTTGATATAGAAGTGCGTTTTTTTGGAACTGGCATACAATTAGTATAGTTTTTTCGTTGCTATAGTTTGATGTGAAAGACATTTGTTCTGTAAATGAAAACGAATTATTCTGTAATTAGCCGTATGTCTTATCTATCTAAATTAACTCTTTCTCTTTTTTTCCATCGAAAGGTAAAGTAAAAACATTGAATATTATAAACCTTTTCCAAATTTTTCATAGATAATAGATATATATGGATCTCTTTTTATTGTAATGTAAAAGAATCAATTAGTTCAAAAAGGAACTAATGTTTCTGAATAAAAAAAAAGTATTATTTTATATTATATTATTTTTCTAATGTATATCAAAATAAACAAATGTTGTTAGTTTTGGTGTACTGATTTATCCTCATCCTCGCTCTATAGATAAGAGATAAAAAAAATTATTTTACAATTATTAATAGTCATTTTTCTTAATATATATATAAATTAAAAAATAACTAACCTAACATAGGAATTAATAGTAATATTAATTAATGAATATATTACTGAAATACTGAAAATAATAATTATTATTTATTTTTTTCACTAGGAATTTTGTTATTGGCCAGTTTTGACTTTGTACTTTCCAATATGGGGACCATTGTGCAAAGATTCAGAACAATTAAGAATATCCAATTCTATTTCTATATCCACTTTTTTATTAACCGAGCCCCTTTACAAAAGATATAAAACAAACGAATAAGAAACAAAATTCATCAAGAATCTAAATATTTTTTATTCTTTCTTTTTGTATGGAATATACACATCAATCTTCATGGATCATACCTTTCATCCCTCTTCCAGTTCCTATTTTAATAGGGGTAGGACTTCTACTTTTTCCCACGGCAACAAAAAATCTTCGCCGTATGTGGGCTTTTCCTAGTATTTTCTTGTTAACCATAGTTATGATTTTTTCAATCGATTTATCTATTCAGCAAATCGAGAATAGTTCTATCTATCAATATGTATGGTCTTGGACTATAAATAATGATCTTTCTTTAGAATTTGGCTACTTGATCGATTCACTTACTTCTATTATGTCAATATTAATCACTACTGTTGGTATTCTGGTTCTAATTTATAGTGATAGTTACATGTCTCATGATCAAGGGTATTTGAGATTTTTTACTTATATGAGTTTTTTTAATACTTCAATGTTAGGATTAGTTACTAGTTCAAATTTGATACAAGTTTATATTTTTTGGGAATTGGTTGGAATGTGTTCTTATCTATTAATAGGTTTTTGGTTCACACGTCCTATTGCGGCAAATGCTTGTCAAAAAGCGTTTGTAACGAATCGTGTAGGGGACTTTGGTTTATTATTAGGAATTTTAGGTTTTTATTGGATAACCGGTAGTTTGGAATTTAGGGATTTATTTCAAATATTCAAGAACTTAATTTATAAGAATGAGG